GCAGCAGCAGCAGCACTGTGGCACACTCATCCATTCATTCAACTCACCACCACACAGCTCCATCATCATCACCACCATCACCATCATCACCACACAGCTCCACCATCACCACCACCACCACACAGCTCCACCACCACCACCACCACCACCACCACACAGCTCCACCATCACCACCACCACCACACAGCTCCACCACCACCACCACCACCACACAGCTCCACCATCACCACCACCACCACACATCTCCACCATCACCACCACCATCACCATCACCACCATCACCACCACACAGCTCCACCATCACCACCACCACCACCATCACCACCATCACCACCACACAGCTCCACCATCACCATCACACAGCTCACCATCATCACCATCACCACCACCACCACCATCACCACCACCATCACCACTACCACCACCATCACCACACAGCTCACCACCACCACCACCACCACACAGCACCATCACCACCATCACCACCATCATCACCATCATCACCATCACCACCATCACCACACAGCTCACCACCACCACCACCACCACACAGCACCATCACCACCACCATCACCACCACCATCACCACCACCATCACCACCACACAGCACCATCATCACCACACAGCTCACCACACAGCTCACCACCACCACCACCAGCACCACCACACAGCTCACCACCACCACCACCACACAGCTCACCACCACCACCACCACCACACAGCTCACCACCACCACCACCACAGCTCACCACCACCACACAGCTCACCACCACCACCACCACCACCACACAGCTCACCACCACCACCACCACCACAGCTCACCACCACCACCACACAGCTCACCACCACCACCACACAGCACCATCATCACCACACAGCTCACCACCACCACCACCACCACCACAGCTCACCACCACCACCACACAGCTCACCACCACCACCACACAGCTCACCACCACCACCACACAGCACCATCATCACCACACAGCTCACCACCACCACCACCACCACAGCTCACCACCACCACACAGCTCACCACCACCACACAGCTCACCACCACCACCACCACCACCACAGCTCACCACCACCACACAGCTCACCACCACCACACAGCTCACCACCACCACACAGCTCACCACCACCACCACCACCACCACACAGCTCACCACCACCACCACCACCACCACAGCTCACCACCACCACCACACAGCTCACCACCACCACCACCACCACACAGCTCACCACCACCACCACACAGCACCATCATCACCACACAGCTCACCACCACCACCACCACAGCTCACCACCACCACACAGCTCACCACCACACAGCTCACCACCACACAGCTCACCACCACCACACAGCTCACCACCACCACCACCACCACCACAGCTCACCACCACCACACAGCTCACCACCACACAGCTCACCACCACCACACAGCTCACCACCACCACCACACAGCTCACCACCACCACACAGCTCACCACCACACAGCTCACCACCACCACACAGCTCACCACCACCACCACCACCACACAGCTCACCACCACCACCACCACCACAGCTCACCACCACCACCACACAGCTCACCACCACCACCACCACCACACAGCTCACCACCACCACCACACAGCACCATCATCACCACACAGCTCACCACCACCACCACCACAGCTCACCACCACCACACAGCTCACCACCACACAGCTCACCACCACCACACAGCTCACCACCACCACCACCACAGCTCACCACCACCACACAGCTCACCACCACACAGCTCACCACCACCACACAGCTCACCACCACCACCACACAGCTCACCACCACCACACAGCTCACCACCACACAGCTCACCACCACCACACAGCTCACCACCACCACCACACAGCTCACCACCACCACCACCACCACCACAGCTCACCACCACCACCACACAGCTCACCACCACCACCACACAGCTCACCACCACCACCACACAGCACCATCATCACCACACAGCTCACCACCACCACCACCACCACCACCACAGCTCACCACCACCACACAGCTCACCACCACACAGCTCACCACCACCACACAGCTCACCACCACACAGCTCACCACCACCACACAGCTCACCACCACCACCACCACACAGCTCACCACCACCACCACCACAGCTCACCACCACCACCACACAGCTCACCACCACCACCACACAGCTCACCACCACCACCACCACAGCTCACCACCACCACCACACAGCTCACCACCACCACACAGCTCACCACAGCTCACCACCACCACACAGCTCACCACAGCTCACCACCACCACTCCCTCACCCCACCCCCCACCACCACCACCCCCTCACCTCACCCTCCACCATCACCACCACCACCACCACACAGCTCACCACACAGCTCACCACCACCACACAGCTCACCACAACCCCCCAGCTCACCACACAGCTCACCACCACCACACAGCTCACCACCCCCCAGCTCACCATGATGCCTCCCCATCTGGGGATGAGGAAGGCGTTGTGGGGGGCCACGCGGCCCCCCGTGGTGAGGAGGTGGAGGGGAGTGAATGAGGGCTCAGTCACGTAGAGCAGGAAGTGCAGCACGGGCATCGGAGATGCCGGGGAGCCTGGGGGGAGGGGGGGGATAGAGGGAGGACAATCACTATCACCGTCACCACCATGATCACTCACCCACTCAGTCACTCACTCAGTCACCCACTCACTCACCCACTCACTCACCCACTTACTCAGTCAGTCACCCACTCACTCAACCACCCACTCACCCACTTACTCACTCACCCACCCACCCACTCACTCACTCAGTCAGTCACCCACCCACCCACTCACCCACCCACCCACTCACTCACTCACCCACCCACCCACTGACCCACCCACCCACTCACTCACTCACCCACCCACCCACTCACCCACCCACCCACTGACCCACCCACCCACTCACTCACTCACCCACCCACCCACTCACCCACCCACCCACTGACCCACCCACTCACCCACTCACTCACCCACACACCCACCCACTCACCCACCCACCCACTGACCCACCCACTCACTGACCCACCCACCCACTCACTCACTCACCCACCCACCCACCCACTCACTCACTCACCCACTCACCCACTCACCCACCCACCCACTCACCCACCCACCCACTGACCCACCCACTCACTGACCCACCCACCCACTCACTCACTCACCCACCCACCCACTCACTCACTCACCCACTCACCCACTCACCCACCCACCCACCCACTCACCCACCCACCCACTGACCCACTCACTCACTCACCCACTCACCCACTCACCCACCCACCCACTCACCCACCCACCCACTCACCCAGCCTGGCCTCCATGGGGTTAATGAGGTGAGGGAGGCTGCTCTCAGGCAAGAGGAAGGCTCCACTCTCGCGGTGCAACCTGGGCCGCACTCCCAGCCCTGCGTAGTGCAGAACCTGTGGAGTGAACTCACTGAGTCACTCACTGTGTCACCCACTGTGTCACCCACTGTGTCACTCACTGTGTCACTCACTGAGTCACCCACTGTGTCACTCACTGTCACCCACTGTGTCACCCACTGAGTCACTCACCCACTGTGTCACCCACTGTGTCACTCACTGTGTCACTCACTGTGTCACTCACTGTGTCACTCACTCACTGTGTCACTCACTGTGTCACTCACTATGTCACCCACTGTGTCACCCACTGAGTCACTCACTGTGTCACTCACTCACTGAGTTACTCACTGAGTCACCCACTGTGTCACTCACTGAGTCACCCACTGTGTCACCCACTGTGTCACCCACTGTGTCACCCACCCACTGTGTCACTCACTGTGTCACTCACTCACTGTGTCACCCACTGTGGCACCCACTGTGTCACCCACTGTGTCACCCACTGTGGCACCCACTGTGTCACCCACTGTGTCACCCACTGTGTCACTCACTGTGTCACTCACTCACTGTGTCACTCACTGTGTCACCCACTGTGTCACTCACTCACTGTGTCACTCACTCACTGTGTCACCCACTGTGTCACCCACTCACTGTGTCACTCACTGTGTCACCCACTGTGTCACCCACTGTGTCACCCACTGTGTCACTCACTGTGTCACCCACTGTGTCACTCACTCACTGTGTCACTCACTGTGTCACCCACTGTGTCACCCACTGTGTCACCCACTGTGTCACTCACTGAGTCACTCACCCACTGTGTCACCCACTGTTTCAATCACTCACTGTGTCACTTCTCCCAGGGTCTGGATAGAACCCACGACCTCCTGTATACCAGGCGAGGTAGTCAACATCTCATAGTTACCGTGATGATGATGAAAGAGACACAGACCTCCTGCGTACCAGGCGAGGTAGTCAACATCTCTCAGGGTAATCGAACCCACGACCTCCTGCGTACCAGGCGAGGTAGTCAACATCTCTCAGGGTAATTGAACTCACGACCTCCTGTATACCAGGCGAGGTAGTCAACATCTCCCAGGCTAATCGAACCCACGACCTCCTGTATACCAGGCGAGGTAGTCAACATCTCTCAGGCTAATCGAACCCACGACCTCCTGTATACCAGGCGAGGTAGTCAACATCTCCCAGGCTAATCGAACCCACGACCTCCTGTAGACCAGGCGAGGTAGTCAACATCTCTCAGGCTAATCGAACCCACGACCTCCTGTATACCAGGCGAGGTAGTCAACATCTCTCAGAGTAATGGAACCCACGACCTCCTGTAGACCAGGCGAGGTAGTCAACATCTCTCAGGGTAATCGAACCCACGACCTCCTGTAGACCAGGCGAGGTAGTCAACATTTCTCAGGCTAATCGAGCCCACGACCTCCTGCGTACCAGGCGAGGTAGTCAACATCTCTCAGGGTCTGGATCGAACCCACGACCTCCTGTATACATGGCGAGGTAGTCAACATCTCATAGCCACCGTGATGATGATGATGATGATAGAGACAGACCTCCTGTAGACCAGGCGAGGTAGTCAACATCTCTCAGGCTAATCGAGCCCACGACCTCCTGCGTACCAGGCGAGGTAGTCAACATCTCTCAGGGTAATAGAACCCACGACCTCCTGCGTACCTGGCGAGGTAGTCAACATCTCTCAGGGTAATCGAGCCCACGACCACCTGTATACCAGGCGAGGTAGTCAACATCTCTCAGGGTAATCGAACCCACGACCTCCTGTACACCAGGCGAGGTAGTCAACATCTCTCAGGCTAATCGATCCCACGGGACCTCCTGTAGACCAGGCGAGGTAGCCAACATCTCTCAGGCTAATCGAGCCCACGACCTCCTGTGTACCAGGCGAGGTAGTCAACATCTCTCAGAGTAATCGAACCCACGACCTCCTGTAGACCAGGCGAGGTAGTCAACATCTCATAGCCACCGTGATGATGATGATGATGATGAGAGAGACACAGACCTCCTGTAGACCAGGCGAGGTAGTCAACATCTCTCAGGCTAATCGAGCCCACGACCTCCTGCGTACCAGGCGAGGTAGTCAACATCTCATAGCCACCGTGATGATGATGAGAGAGACACAGACCTCCTGTATACCAGGCGAGGTAGTCAACATCTCTCAGGGTAATCGAACCCACGACCTCCTGTATACCAGGAGAGGTAGTCAACATCTCTCAGGCTAATCGAACCCACGACCTCCTGTATACCAGGCGAGGTAGTCAACATCTCACAGGGTAATCGAACCCACGACCTCCTGTAGACCAGGCGAGGTAGTCAACATCTCTCAAGCTAATCGAACCCACGACCTCCTGCGTACCAGGCGAGGTAGTCAACATCTCTCAGGCTAATCGAACTCACGACCTCCTGTGTACCAGGCGAGGTAGTCAACATCTCTCAGTGTAATCGAGCCCACGACCTCCTGTAGACCAGGCGAGGTAGTCAACATCTCTCAGGCTAATCGATCCCACGGGACCTCCTGTAGACCAGGGGAGGTAGTCAACATCTCTCAGGCTAATCGAACCCACGACCTCCTGTAGACCAGGCGAGGTAGTCAACATCTCCCAGGGTCTGGGGGAGGGAGGGAGGGGGGGGAGTCTCTCTCCCGTCCAGCAGTGGATGGAACCTGTGAGCTGACGGTGAAGTCTGCCAGGTGAGTGACTTTGTCGATGATGATGATGATAGAGACACAGACCTCCCGTATACCAGGCAAGGTAGTCAACATCTCTCAGGGTAATCGAGCCCACGACCTCCTGCGTACCAGGCGAGGTAGTCAACATCTCATAGTCACCGTGATGATGATGAGAGAGACACAGACCTCCTGTATACCAGGCGAGGTAGTCAACATCTCTCAGGGTAATCGAACCCACGACCTCCTGCGTACCAGGCGAGGTAGTCAACATCTCCCAGGGTCTGGGATCGAACCCACGACCTCCTGTAAACCAGGCGAGGTAGTCAACATCTCCCAGGGTCTGGGGGAGGGAGGGAGGGGGGAGTCTCTCTCCCGTCCAGCAGTGGATGGAACCTGTGAGCTGACGGTGAAGTCTGCCAGGTGAGTGACTTTGTCGATGATGATGATGATAGAGACACAGACCTCCCGTATACCAGGCAAGGTAGTCAACATCTCTCAGGGTAATCGAGCCCACGACCTCCTGCGTACCAGGCGAGGTAGTCAACATCTCATAGTCACCGTGATGATGATGAGAGAGACACAGACCTCCTGTATACCAGGCGAGGTAGTCAACATCTCTCAGGGTAATCGAACCCACGACCTCCTGCGTACCAGGCGAGGTAGTCAACATCTCCCAGGGTCTGGGATCGAACCCACGACCTCCTGTAAACCAGGCGAGGTAGTCAACATCTCCCAGGGTCTGGGGGAGGGAGGGAGGGAGGGAGGGGGGAGTCTCTCGTCTCTCTCCCGTCCAGCAGTGGATGGAACCTGTGAGCTGACGGTGAAGTCCGCCAGGTGAGTGACTTTGTCGAGAAAGGGCCTCAGGTGAGCCTCGACCGCGGCCGCCATGTCCCAGGACACCTCCAGACGCCTCGGGTCTGGATTCAGCAGCGTGAAGGTCAACTCATAGCCTGGGGGAGGGGGGCGGGGGAGGGGGGTGGTGGTGGTGGTGGTGGTTGAGGTGGTGGTGATGGAGGAGGTGGTGATGGAGGTGGTGGTGGTTCAGGTGGTGGAGGTGGTGGTGGTTGAGGTGGTGGAGGTGATGGAGGTGGTGAGGGTGGTAGTGGTGGAGGTGGTTGAGGTGGTGGTGGTGGTTGTGATGGTGGAGGTGATGGAGGTGGTGGTGGTGGGGGGTAGTGGTGGTTGAGGTGGTGGTGGTGATGGAGGTGATGGTGGTGATGGGGGTGTGGTGGAGGTGGTGGTGAAGGTGGTGGAGGTGATGGAGGTGGTGGTGATGGGGGGGGGGTGGTGGAGGTGGTGGAGGTGGTGATGGAGGTGGTGGGGGTGGTGGAGGTGGTGGAGGCGGTGGTGGTTCAGGTGGTGGAGGTGATGGAGGTGGTGGTGGTGATGGAGGTGGTGGTGGGGGTGGTGGAGGTGGTGGTGATGGAGGTGGTGGAGGTGGTGATGGTGGTGGAGGTGGTTGAGGTGATGGAGGTGGTGGTGGTTGAGGTGGTGGAGGTAATGGAGGTGGTGGTTCAGGTGGTGGAGGTGGTAATGGTGGAGGTGATGGAGGTGGTGGTGGTGATGGAGGTGATGGAGGTGGTTGAGGTGATGGAGGTGATGGAGGTGATGGAGGTGGTTGTGATGGTGGAAGCGATGGTGATGGAGGTGGTGGAGGTGGTGGAGGTGATTGTGATGGTGGAGGTGATGGAGGTGGTGGAGGTGGTGGAGGTGATGGAGGTGGTTGTGATGGCGGAGGTGATGGGAGGTGGTGAGGGTGGTAGTGGTGGAGGTGGACAAGTTGGTGAAGCCTTCTTGGTTAGAAGGAATTATACTCAGGTTACCGGGTTCATGTGGCAGTGCACTAATCACTGCACCACCGCTCCCCACAAAGACAAAGATCACCGCACCTATACCCTGTAACAGACTCTTGCCCCCACAATGATCCCGTCGAAATCCCTCATTTCGATCCGGACCATCGGGGTTCATTAGTAATACATCGGCTTTCTGCGACCCCGCCCCCCCCCCACTGCCGCCTCGTAGGATATCATCACGTGGCCAGGGACTCCACGAGATGGTAGGACGACACTCCCGAGTCCTTCATCGGCGATAAGTAACGGCAAAGCGGTTGCAAACGCGGTGCCGTTCTCGCCGCGGGGTTCGAAATCGACCCCTCGATCGATCGACAGCTGTGCCCATCGCCGCATCGAACGAGGGAGCAAGGGACAGGCCCCTTAGCTCACAAGCGACTTCAGATTTCGATTTGAAGCTTTCGTCACTGCAAGGGGATTAAATATTCTTGGTTCTTTCGGTAAGGTCACCACCACGTTGGAATAGGGAAACAGTGAAATAATAAAAATATATACAACAATACGAATTATTATTATTATTCTTGGTTCTTTCGGTAAGGTAACCACCACGTTGGAATAGGGAAACAGTGAAATAATAAAAATATCAAGCAATACGAATTATTATTCTTGGTTCTTTCGGTAAAGTCACCACGTGAGAAGGGAAATAATAAAAATATAAAACAATACAATTGTTATTCTTGGTTCTTTCGGTAAAGTCATCACCACGTTAGATAGGGAAACAATAAAATAATAAAAATATAAAACAATCAAATTATTATTCTTGGTTCTTTCGGTAAAGTCACCACGACGTTAGATAGGGAAATAATAAAATAATAAAAATATAAAACAGTAAAATTATTATTCTTGGTTCTTTCGGTAAAGTCACCACCACGTTAGATAGGGAAACAATAAAATAATACAAATATAAAACAATACAATTATTATTCTTGGTTCTTTGGGTAAAGTCATCACCACGTTAGATAGGGAAACAATAAAATAATAAAAATATAAAACAATACGAATTATTATTCTTGGTTCTTTCGGTAAAGTCACCATGTGAGAAGGGAAATAATAAAAATATAAAACAATAAAATTATTATTCTTGGTTCTTTCAGTAAAGTCACCACCACGTTAGATTGGGAAACAATAAAATAATAAAACTATAAAACAATAAAATTATTATTCTTGGTTCTTTCGGTAAAGTCACCACCACGTTAGATAGGGAAACAATAAAATAATAAAAATATAAAACAATAAAATTATAATTCTTGGTTCTTTTGGTAAAGTCACCACCACGTTAGATAGGGAAACAATAAAATAATAAAAATATAAAACAAAAATTATTATTCTTGGTTCTTTGGGTAAAGTCACCACCACGTTAGATAGGGAAACAATAAAATAATAAAAATATAAAACAACAAAAATTATTATTCTTGGTTCTTTCGGTAAAGTCACCACCACGTTAGATAGGGAAACAATAAAATAAAAAAAATATAAAACAACAAAAATTATTATTCTTGGTTCTTTCGGTAAAGTCACCACCACGTTAGATAGGGAAACAATAAAATAATAAAAATATAAAACAACAAAAATAATTATTCTTGGTTCTTTCGGTAAAGTCACCACCACGTTAGATAGGGAAACAATAAAATAATAAAAATTCAAAACGATGAAATTCTCGCGACGTTTTGACTGCAACACCAAGAAGCAATCATCGTCGTCAGGTGCGAAGACCACGGCAATAATTTTTTTCTTCTTGCTGGGTTTTTTTTCAGTTTTCAGATGACTCTATCCCGAGGGGCCACTTTAGCCAGCACCTGTGACAGGAGGTCATAGAAGGCATCTGACTCATCGGCCTTGCCTGCATCCCTCCACGGATGTTCGTCTTCGGTGGGGGCATAAGTAACCACGACCACCATTCCTCGCCTCCGGTTGACGGGAAGGCGAGCCCAAAGTAGCCTGGGGCTTACAGCTTCCCACACCTCACCGCCACGCTCCCACGCCCCCTTCATTCTTTTGTTCAGAAGAAGAGCCACACCCTGTTGTTTGGCAGTCTGCTGCCCCGAGTAGAGGACTGTCCCCACCCCTCATGGTGGCAGGAGCCAGAGCCGGTCCACCGGACCTCCTGAATGCCGCAGAGATCCAGGCAGTACCGGTCCAGCTCCCGACAGAGGAGTGGCAGCCTCTCCTCCGCGGTGAGCGTTCGAACATTCCACGTGGCCACCCGTAGTGGCTTTTCATTGTTTCTGGAGGAGCCCCGAGGGTTGAGATTCAATCTCCTGGCTCCGCCAATTGGGGTTTGGCCAGGAGACGTCATAGACGCCTGTCCCCCCGGGGCCTCCGGCACAAGCTTATTAGTTACATATTTAAGTTTAAGTCGTAGTTTAGTGGTAATTTTTTGAAGGTGGAGGGGTTACGAGCCCCTCGCACCCGTCCAGAACCCCCGTTTAGCCCCTGTGGTGGTCACAGATGCCATGAGGGGAGGAACCAATCGGAATTGGCCCTCCCCCCACAGCACTGTCCAGACACACAGACAGTCACACACACACACACAGACAGACATACACACAGTCACACACACAGTCACACACACAGACACACACACAGACACACACAGACACACACACAGACACACACACAGACACACCCACAGACACACAACAACAACAACCGCCATTCGCCACTAAGTGGCGGTGACGTCACCACGACGCTTGTGCCAGGCTATGTGCACCCTGAGGCCACGTGAAGTGTCGAACGCCCGCTGGCAGGAGGTCACAGGGCAGACCTAGGTGCCACGGGTCGACTGACTGAGATGACTGGCTGATGCACCACCTGTGCCCCCTACTGTGCCAACCTGCTGTGCTTTAGCCACCCGGCGCTCCGCTCGTTGTTGTGAGCGTCGCTCCTCCGCCCTCCGTTGTTGTTGGAGGGCGACTACCTCCAACTGCCCAGTAGCATCCTTCACGAGCCTCCTCCACAGAGGCCGATCTTGACACCGCTGGTACCAGTCATCGGCAAGTCCACTCAGCTCCACGTCCTCCTGTACCACATCACTCCATCTCTTCTCTAGCCTGTGCCGCGCCCGCTTTGCCCCCTCAATCCGGCCGAACAAAAGCTGTTTCGGCATGCGGTGGCTGGGCATGCGGGCTACATGACCCAGCCATCGCAGCCTGGCCCGCCGGAGGAGCTCACCGATGGGACCTTGCCCAGATCTTTCAAGGATTTGTGAGCTCCTCACACAATCCAGTCTGGTTAAACCCAGGATGGATCGTAGGCAGGCCAGCCTAAATGTTTCTAACCGGCGAAGATGTTCCATTAGGGGGGTCCACGTTTCGCAAGTGTAGAGAAGGGAGGGAATGACCGTGGCCAAGAAGACCTGAAGCTTAGTGCGGAGCGACAGACCAGGTAGCTTCCACACAGCGTTACGCAACCGATGAAAAGATATTGCCGCTCGACTGATTCGGAGTGAGACCTCTGCTGTTAAACTGGAGCCAGTCATAAGCACACTGCCCAGGTATGGGAAACTCTCCACTCTCTCCACAACTGCCCCATCACCGATCGGGAGTTGTGGGGGTGGAGTGTCCGATGGTACAAAATACCCAGGCAGGTGCTTAGTTTTGGTGGGGCTGATGGTAAGGCCCCACCTCTTAGTGACACGCTCCAGTCTCAGCAGCAGCGTCTCCAACTCCTCCTCTGACTGAGTAGCTATTACCAAATCATCAGCATACATAACGTGGTTGAGCAATAGGGAGCCATCCCTTGACCGCACCCGGGCATCGATCAGCCTCCCATTATATCTGTACCATATGGAGATTCCCCCGGTACAGCTATTGAAGGCTTCACGAACTACGTGGTCAAAATAGATGTTAAATAATGTGGGAGCCAGAGGACATCCCTGTCGCACCCCAAGGTGTACAGGGAATAGCTCTGACTCCCGGCCACGTAGTTTTACCCGGGCCCGCTCACCATCATGAAGGTCCTTAATGATCGTGAGCAGAGGGTCAGGTACTCCAAAAGCACGAAGAACGACCCAGAGCCCAGGCCTACTGATGGTATCATAGGCCTTGACCAGGTCAATAAAGCAGAGATGTAGGTCGTGTTGGAATTCCCTACACCTCTGCTGTAGCAGACGGACAGAAAATATGGCATCTGTGCAGGACCGCCCTTTCCTGAAACCGCATTGGGGCTCCGCAAGCCTCTCCTCAGCGTGCCTGGCAAGGCGATGCTGAATAATCCTTGCCAGGACCTTTCCCGGCACACTGAGGAGTGAGATGCCCCTGCAGTTGTTACAGTCTGTGCGGTCCCCCTTCTTAAAAAGGGGGACCACCAGGGCATCCTTCCAATCCTGCGGAACCCGTCCAATGGTCCAGACTGTTGTTATGATGTCATATAGGGCAGTCTGTGCACAAACGCCACCCTCCCTCAGCATTTCGCTTGGGAGATCATCTCTGCCCGCTGCCTTTCCTGGTCTCAGACTCCGGATCGCCTTCAATACTTCCTCAGCAGATGGCACCTCAGCCAGCCACTCACAGGGGGTGACTTCTTCCAATATTTGAGGCACCGCAGCCTCAGCAGGGTCATCCTCACTTTGTGCCACGATGTTTTCCTGGCTGAGGGATTTTCCCTCCCCCAGGACCTCACAGAAATGCTCAGCAAATCTGCGAACCTGTTCCTGGGGGTCGGAGATTGGATCACCGTTTTTTCCCCTAATGATGGTAATAGGTGTGGCGCTGCAGGTTACTTTTTTGATGGAGTTAAATAGAGATTTGTGATCACGGGCCACTGAGGCAGACTCCATCTCCTCAGCAACCCGCGACCACCACCCATCCTTGCAGCGCCTCACGGCTCTCCGAACCTCCGAGCGAAGGCTGCGGTAAGCCTCCTCATTCTCTGACGTGGGATTCTGTAGCTGATGCCAGTGGGCCTGTCGCTTTTTCTCAACCATCCTGAACACCTCCTCTGTCAGCCAGGGTCTCTGGGGAGGTCTGGACCGCGTACCCAAAGCAGCCATTGCAGCTGCATGAGTCACAGTCCTAAACCTCGCCCATTTAGCCTCGACATCAGGAGGAGTCGGGGACGATGCCAATCCCAGCCGCAAGCGATGATGAAATTCTCGCTTGCAACTTTCATCAGATAACTGAGACCAGGCCACTTTATGTTGGAATGGGGTCCTGGGTGTACACCCACCACCGGGTTGGAAGAATGGCAGGCGCATCTTACAGATGACTAGTCGATGGTCAGAGGGCAGATCAGCTCCACGGTAGGTCCTGGTGTCAAGGACATGGGCTCGCATTCGCTGGTCCGTCACTATGTAGTCCAGCAGATGTTCTTGCTTGGACCCGGCATGCATCCGTGATGTTGTGTGGATGCACCGATGCCGGAACAGCGTGTTGGTAATTACAAGCCCATGGGCTGCACAAAAATCTAGCAGCCTCCTACCGTTGTTATTGAGCTGATCTGGCCCATGCCCTCCAATCACTCCAGACCAGGTGCCAGTATCATGACCAACTCGGGCATTGAAGTCACCCAACATGATGACTCTATCCCGAGGGGCCACTTTAGCCAGCACCTGTGACAGGAGGTCATAGAAGGCATCTGACTCATCGGCTTTGCCTGCATCCCTCCACGGATGTTCATCTTCGGTGGGGGCATAAGTAACCACGACCACCACTCCTCGCCTCCGGTTGATGGGAAGGCGGGCCCAAAGTAGCCTGGGGCTTACAGCTTCCCACACCTCACCGCCACGCTCCCACAGACACACACACACAGACACACACACACACATACAGACACACACACACAGACACACACACAGACACACACAAACACACACAGACACTCACCGAGGCTGGAAGGGAGGGCTCTCATACTCCGTGCCTCCTCCTGTGCTCTCTCTCTGCCGCCTCTCGTCTGCTGCTGCTGCTGCTGGGGGTACTGCTGCTGGTGCTGGTGGTGCTGCTGCTGGTGCTGCTGCTGGTGCTGCTGGTGCTGCTGCTGTTGCTGCTGGTGGCCATGACGCCCCTCCTTGCCGTGCGTCCTCGTCGCGGCGGCGATCGCCGCCACGCCGGGCGCCATCCTCGCCACGGCCTGGTGCACGGCCCGCCTGCCACGGCCGCCACAACCAACATCATCATCATCATCGTCGTCGCCGCCGCCGCCATCACCGCAGCGGAGGAGAAGAAACGCCGATCGGTGTCGCCCGGGGATCACGCTGAAGGAGGAGGAGGAGGTGGACGAGGAGGTGGAGGAAAACGCCGGGACTTCTGGACGATGAGGTGGCGTCGCTGTTGCTGCGACACCACCACCGCCACCACCACCATCATCATCTTCATGTTGTTGTTGTGGCTCCTGTTGTTGTTGTTGTTGATGTTGTTGCCGCCGGTTGTCGTGGAGGATGTAGAGGCTGAGGGTTCCCGGGAGGTTGGCGGAGGGCAGAGCCGAGATTCCATCGTCGGCAGCTGACGACAGGGAACAGGACCCCAGCAGAGTGTGTGGTGAGTCTGTGTGGTGAGTGTGTGTGTGTGTGGTGAGTCTGTGTGGTGAGTCTGTGTGTGTGTGTGTCTGTGTGTGTGAGTTTGTGTGTGTGTGTGAGTCTGTGTGTGTGTGTCTGTGTGTGCGTGAGTGTGTGTGTGTGTGTGGTGAGTCTGTGTGTGTGAGTGTGTGCGAGTCTGTGTGTGTGTGTGGTGAGTCTGTGTGGTGAGTCTGTGTGTGTGTGTGAGTCTGTGTGTGTGTGGTGAGTCTGTGTGTGTGTGAGTGTGTGGTGAGTCTGTGTGTGAGTGTGTGTGTTGTGTGTGTTTGAGTCTGTGTGTGTGTGAGTCTGTGTGTGTGGTGAGTGTGTGTGTGTGTGAGTGTGTGTGAGTGTGTGTGTGTCTGTGTGTGTGGTGAGTCTGTGTGGTGAGTGTGTGTGTGTGTGAGTGTGTGTGTGTGGTGAGTTGTGTGTGTGTGAGTCTGTGTGTGAGTGTGTGAGTCTGTGTGTGTCTGTGTGTGTGGTGAGTGTGTGTGTGTGGTGAGTCTGTGTGTGGTGAGTCTGTGTGTGGTGAGTCTGTC